CAGGTCCTTCAGTGAATTAGAAACCTTCATTATTCAGAACTTTTACTTCCAACTCACTGACATTCAGTCAGTGAAAACAGATGAATACTAAAAACGTGGAAGAAAAATTCCAAAAAACCCCAGTCCTACAAGTGGTTCACTTCTTGTCCGGTCATTGGCATACACTCCCACATAGGGAGCCTAAAATGGCATAGTCGAGTTTCACATGAATATACGATTACAGGTTGCTTGTATTCAGCAAAAAATAAGTCACAAGCAAAAGCACCTTTGAGAAAGAATAAACAACAGTGACTACCTAGGCTCAAGGGGAAGGTAGAAGACCGTCCCATCTGCAAATGTAGAGAACGGCTGAGTAATAGGAATAAAATCAAGGTGGGGGCAGCTCCACTTGCAAAACAGTTTAAAATTCTCCCCAAATACATGGAGGGAACTCAGTATCCGTTCTCCTTCATTTCATGCACTAAGACGTAAGAATGAAAGGGAAATGTGGGTGGCAGGAAAGAAGGAATAAAAGGTAGGGAGTCTGCACAGCCATCAGATATAAAAAGATGAAGACAATGAAAATATGACTGAATAAAAATGGACTGCAGTCAATAAACGAACAAATGAAATGTCCTCGTATTCCAAAGACAATATAAGAAATGGCACCAGTATCATTATTGTGTGCTGAACATAGCTTGGAGCTGACTCACAAAGCCCCTCAGCAAGGGCAAACTAACCATTTATTCCCAATAACTGCTCTGATACAAGGATAAGAGTCACCACATCCTGGGTCCAGCAGCAAAGCCAGCTTGAACAATGTTCTCCCTTACCTCTCACCGCTGCGGCCCCCCGCAACTACACTTTATCACACCTTCAAACGTGACAAGAAAACCATTTCTGAGGCTGTGCTGTAACCTGAACAGCTGCAATGATCCAACTCCCCTTCTTTCACCATCTATTTGCTTTAGGAGACCTAAACTTTGAGCTAATAACAAGCCCTCCTAGACCCAGACCCCATGGTGGGCAGTACAGACAAACATAAATGGATCTGCAGGAGCCAGATTACGCAGCACACAGATATCCAAGCTGTGGTCATCACTTCAGGGGCACAATATAGCACACATGATTGTATAGCCATTTTTTTTCTCTCCAGGTAATCATTTTCTGTTCTAAATCAGCGCTTGTCCAGGCTATAGGCTTCCTAAGTTATTATGCCTGATGTACACAAGCTTCTACTCAGCTACAATCTGAGCTGAGTGAAGCAGAGATGACTTTTTTGGTCTCTGTTGTACAGTACCTCATACAATGAGATCCTCACCCAGCAGTCAGGCTTTTACATACTTGACCTAGCAAGAAATATCTCTCCATGATAACTAAGGCCTTTAAAAAGATGTGCATAATAATATAATTAAAAAATCACAATCTTTTTGATTTTAAAACACAGGTCAGGCTTAAGCTTAGGTACTATGACCAATTGGTTTCTTTGTTTCAACTTTTTCTTCTTTTATTTCTCCCTTTTTTTTTTAAAAACAACCATCAACATATGCAATTAACATTTTCTACTGCATTTTTATGAGCATAGACATAGTCAAACAATCTGAGATGCAGCAGTCCAGAGCGCATCTCCTGTGATGACTCCCATCTCTAGTAGGAACGCTGGCCGACTCGTGACAGTTAAAAGATTGCCCTTATACTGTCTGAAGGAGTTACTGCTACTCCTGCAGAGGCATTTTTCCAAATAATACAGCCAGATTAAAAAAAAAAAAAATGTAGACAGAGATCCGCTTGGGCGCTATTTTTATTTATTTATTTATGGTATCATCAGGAAATATAGGTCAGCTACAAAAGATAAGAGTTCTGCATCTGACAACCAAAACACAGATGCGCTGTTTGCCACCTAAAAATGAAAATATAATTGTAAGCCATGTGTTGACAGTCCCACACTTGTAACATTTTCACATCAAAGTTTCCTGTTACCAGCTACAGGATTTCACTGATTGCTTTTCTTTCTAGTAACTTTAAACATAGCAACATTTAAAAGGCATCTATACCTGGAAGGCCCAAAATCAGCAAGCATCCAAGCTCTGTAGAAACAAGACCGATACACAATGTTTTCTGCATATGTACAGACGCAGGATACATCTTTGGAAGAACTGAAAAATATTCACTTACTATAAGCTGTCACTGTAGCAAAAGGGCTTTGCTCATCTCCGAGTAAGAAGCAGGTTAAAGCAATGTGCACTTCAACAAACTAATTATTACTGTTCCTGGCTTCATTGAAGTGCATGTGTTTGCCTTCATCCCTGGTGTTTTCCATGCTTTAATTCTGAAAGCAACATCGTCTTAGTATACAAGTGAAGGAGTGCATGTAGAAGGGGTGATGAACTATATAGGCCTCTCTTTATAGCCTCCATTCAACAAGCAGTGATAAACTGTGAACAACATCTAATAAAAGTCACAGACATCTGAGTAATACTGGTGGCATTTAGAGCTCCTCTCTTATTTATGTGACTCAGAGTCAGACACTCTGCATATTTTCAGCAGGGAATAAACAAAGTCCTCTCTACAGTACAAGCCAAAATGTTCTAGAAGACCATCCTTTTCCACCCTTATTATAAACCACAGACAGACAAAAGCCATCATGCTTCCTTTTAAGCAGAGCAGAGAATGTCCATTTTCTCCAAAACTGCAGTCCTGCTCATCAAAGGTGGAGGCAAAGCCCGAAAGACTCCCCCAGTTATACCCAGACACATTCCTTCAACAAGCCAGAATATTTGCTCAACACTGGATTCTTGGAAACACTCACTGGACAATTTGAGTTTAAATGCCAACAGACAAGTTGAATTGTGTCTAGCTTATTGGAAAATGTTGTGTCACTATTCAGGGCAATTAGTAAAGCAGTCTCCCTCTTTATATTTGGGTGGAGGAAAAACACAGAAGCCAATAATTACTTCAGCAGTTTCCCTTGTGGTGGCCTTTGAAGTGTCTGTCAATTGAAACTTGAAAAGAAAGGAGGAAAAAACACAATGGAAAAAGGAAGATCCTGAAACAAATTTTGACACTTGGAGAGTTGTCTGGGTTGACAAATAGTTAAAGGAAAAACTGAAACTGGTCTGCTAAAAAACAAAACAAAACACTATTTTATGAACAACCACTCTAGCTGTCTTGCTAAATTTAGTCTTTCTAAACGCTTAACCACGTCTAAGTTCCCCTTATTTTTGGGGTGCGGGTAAGAATTACAGGAAGAGAAAAGTTAGTTCATGCCTCAGCTGCCTTTGGCAAGCCAAAACTAAACCAGTATCAACGAGAGAGTAACAAGAGGCACCTATCTCTGCACAGCTAACTTCAGGTCTATTTAGCTCAGAATCCACTGCCATTAGGGAATCTTCATGCTGATTTCAGTAGGTTTTGAGTCATGCTCTTTTTTGTTGATTACTTACAGACAGTACCTCTGCAGCACTAACTTGTACTGCTTTCCAAGCAAATTAATCTTTATTGTAATTTCAGTAATTCTAGCAGTAATGCTAGGAACGAATGTATTTCTTGGTCTTATTCAGATGAGCATGTCCCATTTATTTAGACTACACATTCCATTTTTATTACAGCTACAGCCTTTTCATTACTTTCTGTGCTGAAATCATTGCATCATTTCGTGAATCACCAATTGCCAATGTTATCTGGGGACGAAAAAATATAACCCAGCATAACATACATAACTGGAGAAGAAGGGCAAGACAGCAGGAAGGAAGGAGTAGCAAACATTTTGCAGTCCTTGGAATTTTTTTCTGCCTGATCAGTCAAAGTGGGGAGTGATAGTGCACTACAGTTCTCTTCAAACATCAGTGAGCCCTTCATGTTTTACATATTTTAATTTCCTGCATACCACTTTTCAGCAGAATACTAAACAAGCACAAATGCCAGAGCTGAAGGGCTGAATGTCTGAAGTCTGATCAAACGTCACTGGCGTGAAGGCCTTGGCACATTCAAATTTTTGTTTTGCCTTTCAGAACAAAACAAAAGACTCTTTCAAAGTCATTAAACTAACGTTAAATGCAAAGAAATCAAACAAGTCATTGATAAGAACCAGACTTTTCTTAACCTCAGTGTTGCTAACTTCTTCACACTTGCTGATATTGAACATAAAAGATTGGTAGACCTAATGAGGCCCAACATCTACTGCCATTAAGCAATATAATGGAAGATTCAATTTATAATTTTGCCTCACACACTTCAACATTTAGTTTTACCAGTTTCCAGGTCCCCTGCACCTACTGTCCCATCAGCATCACATTACAAAAATATGAAGTATTTTCCACAGGTTTTAATACAAGTCAGAATTAATTAACTGAGAAATAATATTACTTGTACTTTTAATTAATTTGGCTCCAGCCATAAAGATTGAGTATCTACACTGCAATACTTCAGGTCAGCCCATTTAGGATAGTAGTAACATCAGAACTTTCAATTCCATGTAAAAACCTTAAGTAATACCATGAAAAAAATATATCAGCAGTACAGTTAAGCCTAACCACAGCTCAATGGCAGACCCATTAGGAACAGCATTATTGCTGCTACTAATAAAAATATAGAGAGTAACTCACTATAGGCAAACTTCCCTTGCATTCACCATATAACCTCAGTATTAGGTGCTAGCAGGATTAACCTCTAAATTCAGTGCACTTATTTCGCAATGAACTAAAATTGATTTTGCAGCCTGTGGAATTCTACTGATTTCAACAGCAATGAAGTAACACGAAATCTGAGGTGAATTTCTCTGAATTACTTATTAGAAAGAGAGAGAAGAGCCCTCCAATATTTCAATTGCACTTTGGCATGAGCGATTACTTTATCACAATGTTTCCATATAGAGTTCAGACAGAATGATGTAAAGATGATTCATTTAAATTTGAATGGTCTAGTACTGTAAAAAGACAATATTTTATATATGTTAAAGTAAACTATTGTGGCAAACACGCTTCGATAGACTATGCAAGTGTCATGTTGAATGATTTACCTACCTTCTCTGTGATGTAGAAATTAGAACTATCAGCATGCTGCAGCGCATATTGATCATGATTTGCAAGAGACCACCTTAGAAATACAAAATACAAAAAGTAAAACATAAAATGAAATCTTAAAAAAAAAAAAAAAATAACAGTAACAACAACAAAAAAACCCACACCCTTTGCATAACTGGTCTTTGCTATGATCAAACCCGTACCCGTCACTCAGGTGCATTTCCCATACTTATTCACAGGCTTCAACAAGGGACTCCAAAGTTTAAAAAAGAAAACAAAAAGCATGCATTCATAAAAGAAATGCATACTTATGGGCTATGTTTATAGTTGAGATATTTTTCCCTTTGCTTATCTCTAACTGAAATTCCTAAGCTTGACCATGGTCAGTCAGAAAGAAACAACATAAATACATTTCCTCAAAAGTAAAGCTTAAAAAAGTTAAAGGAAAAAAAAAAAAAAAAGAGAGAGAGAGGAAAAAATAAACTCTATTTTGGCACTTCAGTGCTCCAGACAAAAAAAGGTGATCATGATATTAGTTCCAGATCTACAAAAAAAAAACAAGCATAATTTTTGCTTGCAATAAGCAAAGTCATTATATCACTAAAACAGACAGACTGCATTTACAGTATTGGGACTCTACATTAGCTTATCTATAAACTCATATAATGTTAAATTCATATATTACATTAACTCAGAAAACAACACCTTTCTAATTCAGCTGCAATTTGATGGACATGAACTAGTTTCTTCTCTATTGTAACCCTTGCTTAAAAGGGCATTATTTCACAAATATCGATAGGTTTAATTTAAAGAAAGATAATTTTGTCGAGCAATTATTAGTTCATGTTGAGGACAGGACTTGTACTTAGTATTTTAGCTCCACACGAGCAGTCAAATCAACTGGACCAGCTTACAATATCCACTGGGCCCAGTGCTTAGAAAGCGAAGCCACAGTCACCGCAGCAATTTCTTAACCTATGAACTGCAGGGACCACAAGGGTAAAGTGAGCGGGGAAATCTCGTTTTTGTGACGAATGACAACAAAAACGAGCCTAAATGAGCCACCCACATATGACAGAGATGCTGTTTTCAGAATCTTATAAGTAATCGATCCAAAATATACTGCAAATTCAAAATCTGAAGATAAAACAATTGTATGACTTAGGAAACTAATCACGAGTCATTCAGAAGATCTACATTTTCTTCAGAATAATCATTATCTCCCCAGTTGGTTTAATAACTCAAAGTATAGTATCTAGTACCTACTGTATGGCAGAACTTACCCATCGCAGACTTCTTTTATTATTGAGGACAGTGGCTTTTTCTGATCAAAGAAAGGGGGAAAAAAAAAAAAAATCAGCGAATTGGAACAGCCCTGAACTCCTAAAGTATGTTTCCAAAACCAGTGATTCCAAACAACAAAATAAGTTAGCAGCATTTCATTTTCTTTTTAATATAGATTCATTACATACATTCATATCAATTCATTTTCCTTTTAATGCATCCTTGATAGTACTGAAAAATTTTCTGGTATTTTGGTCAGCAAGCCTATAAAGACAATGCTACATAATTAGAATGATAGTCTTTTTTTCAAGTTTTTCAAGTTACCAGTCATTTCTGCCAACTTTAGCCCATACAGCATCAACTGAGCTTGTGGAGGGAGTGGCGAGGGGGATCAGAGAGTCTTTTGTGTACACTGTAACACATTACCCAACAGAAAAAAAATAATCAGATATCAACATTAGCATTTGCCTGGAATGACATCTGAAGCAAGAAGTTATTCCGCTTTTTGTTTTTTTTTTTTAAAGCTTTTGCTGCTTCCAGGTATCAGTCATATGATGACAATAAAACTCTCCTAAATATGCCCATACAGCTTTCCCACTGCTAAAGCATCAGCTGAGAGGTGTCAAGATTCCAGATGTATCAGTTCTGCTTTTTTCTATGCATCTGCATTTGAAAGCATTTGGACTGACTGAAAACAGTTCTGTTTTAGGTCCCAAAATAGAAGAAACAGTCTAGTCCAGTGATGTTGCAACACTGAACATTGTTATAAACACAGGATGCACGCACACACGTGTCCTTAGAAGAGTGCTGGCTAAAAGAAAGTACATCTTTATGACCCAAAACGTGGCCAAGTTGCATGGCAAAAAGAAACAGACCATTGTTCACTTCTGAATGACCACTGGGCCTTTTTTCTCCGATCATGGGTGACCCCACAGAGCATTGCACAGAGCTGCTGCTTCTCAATAACTCTTCACATCACCTGAGCAATGTAAGAGCCTCAGCTCTACTTTCAATAAGCATAGTTCACTGAATCATTACAAGAAAAGAAAGGGGGGAAGAAGGGAGGGCATAAACCAACTCTACTGCCAAAAGAAGCAGTCTCCCTTAAGTGACTCTAGATAAACAAAAAAAAAAAATCATGAAAAATCACATTGGGAAACTGACTGGGCAGCAAAGGAACTTGGTGGCAGGGCACATTGCACGGAGAGGGTTATTTTTCACTTGGATTTGTTGCTTGAACTGCATCATTGCACAGAGTGGAAAGCAGAGATGGGAATATCAGCTGTCAGGTCAAGTATAAGGAGGGTTTTCTGATTTCAACAGTCAACTAAGATGGTTTAGAACAGGCAAAATATAACACCACATCATTTGAATTGCACATGAATGAAAGCACTTGCTGAAAGGACCCATCCTGTCCCTGCTTGCCTTACCTCCCAAGCCTGTGCTTCTACCCTTCCTTCATTGCCTTTTCTGCTTTTTATGTAACCAAAAAGATGAGCTGTACCAAGGAACTTGATCAAAATAAAAATTGGCCTAGCAAAAAGGAAAGGATAAAAATAAGTTTTCAAATAGATAAATTTCCTCATCTGACTCAGCGTGTGCCTAAATGAACAGCAAATGGCAGCATGCGACAAAAAGGGCAGAAGTGTGAAGCTGGTCCTTCCTGCAGCAGCCAGCAAGCATCATCTTCATAGCAGCTTTGCTCTCCTCTGGGCTGACCCAGCCATTTGGGTGGCCATGCTGTGAACCACACCAGGCAGCTGAGCCAGGAAAGAAAGTGTTTTCTTCCCTCCAGTTCTTTAGCCTGATCTCGTTTACTCTGTCATTTATGTGGGGCTGCTTTGACCTGCTGCCCTCCTCTCCCAAGAGCATTTGTAGCACATCTGTTTCTCTATATGCATGTAGCTATGTGAGTAAATCACATCTCCTTATTGGGAGAAGGGAGAAAAAAAAGTGAAAAAAAAAAAAGAAAAAAAAAAAGAAAAATCAGCAACCCTGTGTAGTCAATCCCCAGCTTTCTTCCCTCCTATCCCTCAAGAAACATAAAACCCCACTGGGGCAGGAGGGAGGAGCGCAAGTTTGCCCAGAGCTGGGAGATGCCAAGTTGCTGGCCAGCAGGTGTGCGCCGATTTGCAGGCCAGCTGCTGCCCGACAGCGCGTACAGCCCTGCACTCGGCCTCCCCTTCCCTGCTTTGGATGCTAACGCCACCCTTCTCCTGTATTTGCCGATTGCAACAAAATTTTTATCTGGGATTTTAGTTCCTTTTTCAAAGTAAATTGAGATCAGCTAACATTAAAAACAAATCAGGGACAAATAAGAGCAACAGCCTTTCCCTTTCCCCTCCTTGAGGGAATTAGGATGAAAAGAATCTGCAACAAGCCAAAACGGCAATGATAATGAAACCCTGGGAAGGTCAGATACAATTACTTTCAAAATCAGGATTCTGCTACTTCTGAATCTCCTGCCCCATCAGCTTTCATGTCCTTTCTCAATCTTTCAGTCTAAGAGATCCATCTCCCTCCCGCTTTCACTAGTCCAGACCATCTTTGCTTTACTATACGACATTTGAAATTAAAAACTTGGAGGAAAACAAAACACAGACCAACTAGAAGCTGTAAAGGCACAGTTAAAAAGAAAAACAAGATGGATCTTAAATAATAATTAATACAGACAGCCTTTCATAGCGCTGCTTTGTCCTCCTGCGGCACTACTGCTGCAGCACTGAAGTGATGAATCGACTTAAGCGCAACCCAGTTCACAGCAAGAGAATGAAAGGAAAAAAAAATCATCACCAACAACAACTCTTCTGGGATACAAAGTCTGCAATTAGTGATTTGATATCACTAATGTGAGCTTTACAAATCAACAAAGGTAAAATAAATACCACTGCAATCCTAATAAGCTGCTGCTCCTAACTATCCCCTAGGCTGCATTCCCCTCCCACAAATAAGTCTCTAGACAAAATTCTTCTCCCTTTCACATGAAACAGATAAATTGTCACCAGCACCAAGTGCTCACAGCTGTAAGCGAGATGTTGCTAAAAACCTGCGCCGGCTGCGACAACTGCCTCTGTGAAATCGCTCCGGCGGCGTTATGTAAGCCAGGGCTGCGGAGAAGGCTCTGGCAGGCAGCGCATCAACCGCGCAGCGCCGGCTCTGCTGCCACCCCTCCACACCAACAGCAACGTTATTCATTCTCCTTGGAAGTGAGAGATGGGCGAGGGACCAGCGCTCGCCTCCCTTCCTCCAAGCTAGCTCGTAGCCCTGTCTCCAGTACTGAGCTCCTCGGGGGCCCTGCTGCTAAAGGTTGCAAGGAAAATATCAATGCTTAAACCAACACTGACAGGACACTACTATTTATTTTACATATAGCAATGTATCAGTGTTAGCAAATAAAGAGAAGTGAACCACTTCTTTTCTTTTTAAACCATGAAAGAGGAGATAAAAGTCTACTTCCATTCTCTGCAGAGTAAATCCACTCTGCAGGCCATTCAAAGATAACAAGTTTTCTTGCCTAGGCGTAAACATTTGCCTGATATCAAGGAGAAAGGATTTGATGTTTTTGTTACCTTAACCTTCACATGATCATTTTTATGGAATAAAATTTTTGCTACATTTACAGTTCTTAAAAGCCAATCCACCTTATTACTTCAGGGGCTTCAAACACCTCCTTACAATTAGACAGTCCAAAAATCTTTCAGAGTTTTTCCTTTACTGAGATTAGTAGTTTCTACTAGTGCCATCTGTCTTTATGTCCTTTTCTACACTAGCTGAAATGAAGTGTGCTGTTACACATGCCGAAACGTTCATTTAAAGCTTTAGCATGGGGGGGGAGGGGCAGAAATCAAGCTGTAGTTTTAGTCCATGAAATAATGCAGACTAAAGTAAACTCTATGCTCCTTGTAGGAGATTACCCCCTAGCTAACATATCAAAACCATCTGTACTGAACACAAAGGTTAGTATATGGAAATTGTTTTTCTAGTGCAGATATTGAACCGATAGCGGAAATGCAATGGAAATCAGTAATAGGACATTACAACCTCATCACTGTTGTTATCATCTATGTATATCATCTACATATAATTACACGTGTGGGCAACCCCGTAACTGACGCTAACCACAGGCAATGCTAGAGCTGATGTGAATTTACACATCCAGTAGTCTAAAGCATTGGCCAGTTAGTACAGGTGTCAGAGATGCTGGCTTAGTCTAATCCTGACAACATCCACCATGCAGCAGTATCCTTTTTACCTTTCCCTCATCATTTCTGCAGTCCTCCGCATGTGTCTCAGGACATTTCCAGGTGCATCTTAGCACATAGGTCTCATCCTCAGTCTACTTGAGTACGTCCCTTGGCACTGTGCAGGAGGTAGCTATTTGGGCAGTATTTTGTACCACTTCTGAAGTAACGGGCAGAGCAGAACCTGAAATTTCCCACTCTAAGATATTTCTCCATCAGTTTCAGCCTTTCATGTCTACAACTTCCGGTCCCCAAGCACAGACATGCAAGGCCAGGCTTTGTGAATCCACAACACTCTTTTCTTCCAGGGAAACTGTGAGATGGGGCAAAAGAAATTAAGAACATTCAACCTGCCAACATTAACAAAACCCTAGTCCAGTTCAAGCCACCAGTATACTAACCTGGGTACATTAATCTGAGTTTAAAGCACTTCCAAAACAAATAGAACATGTGCGTGCATGGACTTTAAAGAGGATAAAAGCCTAGATCTGGGTACAGGCCTATGTTATACACGCAGTACCGACGCTTTGATTGGGTTATACCTGGAACTTGTAGACAGGTTTTCTTTAAGGCAAGGACGAATACCTTCGCTTGCAGAGGCTCATTCCTTTTTCCTATTGTTGTTGACAACGACTGGGGATATCAGTTTCCCTAGCTGACACCTTTTATCACAGAATTAATAAGAAAAACCTTAACCCTTGCTGTCGTTAAGCCTATCACAGAGAAACAGCAGACGCGGCACATCTGTTGGAGAGCAGAAGACAGCCAGGGAGTAAAATAGAGTTCTACTGCTGCTCTG